AAATTCAATCAATAAAACTCTCTATCCTTAAGATTGCATTCAGGTATGGCAGGTTATCTACCGTATGCTACACTGAAGCCCCACACTTATGACGTCCAATGAATATGCCCTCAACAAACGCTTTGCAAATACAGCTACAAGGACTACTAAGGGTTCGAATATTGGATAATATAGAACATTTTATAGACTTGATAGGTACATTATAAGCCGTAGAATCTTTGACAGCAAATGCCATCTTTACTTTAAGGCCTGTTACATTTTTTGAACTTTTTGCGTCAGCTGAAGCTCTTGCGATCTAACACCTCAACATCTAACTAGGCTCTCAGTAACCTATTGCCTACTGAGAGTCCTTTGACTAAAATGATTTATTTATAAAATTATGCGACTCTCCATATAAATGAAAACAAGCTCGCATAACTCCAATCGCAAAGTTAAATACTCCTCAAGATAACAGTAATTTTCGACAAATCTCTATATTGCCTGTCTTGCCAAAAATTTACAAGTGGATTATTCAGAAACAAGTTGTTAGGTTCTAAAAAATCACCATTTCCTTGATTATACCACTTCTGCCTTTAGGAAAGGGCACTCTACAACAACATCTATTTTATTAAGAATACGTGATGAACCAGAGCGAATGCACTCTGCTCGTCGTAGCTGACACTGTAAAGTAAAGGTCTGTTATTGAGAAAAAGACTCTCCTCTGACTCTTAAGGTCACACCTTTAACGGACAGCCAACTACTTGAGTACGGGGGAAAAGATTCTATAAATTGATGATCTATTTCAAAATCTGTTAGCAGTAGCTTTTAAGTCCCACAAGGGAGATCATGGGTCTTCTCAGTTTTTAACATATATATTGCTGATCTGCAAGGGAAACTTGATTGTATTTGCCATCAATATGCTGATGATACAATCGTGTATATAAAGCATCAAAGCCTGATAAACTTACATCTTGCATGACCAAGGTGCAAGGTAATGTGGATAAACTTCAGTACTGGGGAAACGGAGCTAATCTAATCCTTAGTACTTGCAAAACGAAGTACATGCTATTATCTTCTTGCAAATTTTCTTCTTAACAACACTGACTTTGACCTAAGTGTTGGAACTACATCTCTAGAACGTGTATCTTCGGCAAAACTTTTTGGGACCTAGATCGACCACCTTATATAAGAAGATGATGCAAGATGATGCAAGTCTGAGCCTCTTGCTATCACTCTCTTAAAATCATAAGGACATAAAGGAATTATCTGTTTAATATTCGTAAGCAGTTAGGTCAAGCCCCAGTTCTTGCCGATTTGAATATTTATTTTGTCGTACCTTATAAGGTACCACATTACTTTCTTTCACGCGTACAAAGAATTCAAGCATCTCGAGCAGGTTCTGACAATGGAGAGGGATACATTTCGCCGCCAAATTAAGAAAAGGGTCACATCTTGATAATGTCAGTCTTTCCGAAATAGAGGAGTATCGAGTCTTTATATGTATTGTCAGTGACGGACCAGATATTATTGACGACAGTTCTGAGATCAGAAAAGAAGTGAGGGATCAGCCTTATGCTGTAAACACTTTTTTAGGATGGTCCAATGGGTGAATCTTACAGCGATGGCGCTCATGTTAATTTCATCAGGGGCGATCACAAAGAGAATTTAAGTAGCACATGGGTTACCTGACCATTTTGATGACTGATTGGACTCAGCTACATTCTGGCATTTCACCGATTTGGCTCTTTTGATAATTTAACTCAATTGAACTAAGACAGCTAGATTGTGCCTTTTGTCCAAATGAGCAGTTCTTAGCTATGAAGATCATTTTATCGAGAAGATCATTGTCCGATTCAAGTAAATTGTGCAGATTGAACAATTCGACTGTTTTTGCTTCTTCTGACATTGAAACCGCCTTTTGTCCGTTTCAAATACTTCTAGCGGCTCAGCTGCACAAAATGCATACCTAACCTAAACAGTTTAATGGGATGAATTGTCAAACCAACAAAGACAGGAATACTCCAGATATAGCACAGTCTATCTTAATTGGTTGAGGACCCTCACATGAGAAGCTCAGATTGTTGAACTGAACAAAATACATACTTAGTTTCATAGGTTCAACCGCATAAACTGCACAGCCTAGCTGAATTCGTTCAAGTAGTTAAAATAGTCCAACTACCTTGATTCGTTTGACTAATTAAATATTCAAACCTGCGAAGAGAGTTAAAGTACGCAAATTGCAATGTTTATCTTAATGGATTGAAGTGGTTGAATGCTCAAATTAGCTCCAATTGGTTAACTCCATAAACTACACAATCTGGCTGAATCTGTTCAAATAGTGTAAATGGTCAAACTAGCTTAGCATGGTAGAGCTCATTAAAACGGTCAAATACTCTAAAACGATTCAACTGGACAAATGCACAAACTAGCTGAATTGGTCCAACTGGTTAAAATGCTTAAAATAGCTAAAATGGTTTCCTTGAACGAAATGAACTAACTAACTTAATTCTTTCAGTTAATTAAAGAGGCCAAAATGGCTTAAACAGTTCGTGAGGAAAAAAATGCACAAGCTAGCTAGATGAGCTTAGACGGTTCAACTGGACGAAAAGACAAATGCAGCTTCATTGTTGCAACTGGTTCAAGACAACAAAATGGCGAAAATGGTTCATTTGGACACAATGCTCTAACTAACCAAATTGGTAAAGCTGGTTAAAAGGGTCAAATTAACTAAACGAATTATCTGGACAATATGCTCAAACTGGCCAAATTGAATCAACTTTTTTAGATGGTCAGTTTAAGTCAAAGAGCTCAACTCAAAAACATGCACTGACAAGCTGTATTATTCGGAATTGTTAAAACAGCAAAATTTCGTGATAGGCGACAAATGCAGTTTAAATAGAATCAATCATAGTGATGCTGTAGTGATGTCCGGCCATTCATCGATGAGCAAAATGCGAAGACGTTGGAGGACGTTGGAAGATTAGGAGATGAGTTTTTGTTGAGTCAAAAGCTTAATTTCGTGGAAAGGCCCCGTCACACCTCCATGCAGTAGAGTGCCGCCTTTCTTTGTTGGCACGCTGGCTTGAAAACTAAAGAAGTCGGCAGAATGATTGAGCACATCCAATACAAAATCATACTAATAACCATGCAAATTGTTTGAGCTCTTCTCTCAGACGCCTCCCTCAGAGTTGTTTTGAGGATCTGCCGTATCTTCCCCTTAGTGGGCTCAACTGTCTGGTTCAAATGCCACAGACTTTCGACTGTAGTCAGTTCTTCTTTGTCATGCAGCATCATAGGCCAAGAAAACTGGGGCTTCTCACTTATTTCGTGATGAGTCACCTCTAGAATAAGTTCTCGACATGAGTTTCCTCTAGCCAAAACTGTTGAGTGCGTCAATCAGCTCGTTGGCGTCAAAGTTCCCCTTTACAAGCTCGGCAACAACGTCTTCATGGTAATATAATTCTGAAACAACTGGAGGAAAAATCTCCGCGTTCTTTTCGAATACCACACATACAGCGAATGCCGTGATGAGCACACAAGGGACATAGCCCAGAACCAAGTAATCCTTGGTTCAAAATCTTCCGCCAGCTGACCACTCATTGGATTGGAAGTCATGTCTCAGGGCTGGAACTCTTTCTTTTCCACCAAGGGTTAATGAATCATTAAATTCCTCCCAGAAGCTTTGACCCCACGTTCGTTCACCATCACAGTTTTCAGCACAGGGAGCATGATGTTCTCCGCTTGTAACGCTTCCCTCTAAAGGAACTTCATTAATAAAATTTTAACGAGCGTCATGTATTTTTTTCTCAAGGAGGGTCTGGTACATTATGGAACTTTTCCCAGATCTCTTGCACTTTAGTTTCATGAGCTTCAAACCAAAACTTGTCCTTCAGTAGCTTGGTTTGCCGTATTTCATCATTATGTAACCATGGAGGTGGAGGAAGAGCTAGCGTAGTCATTACGGGTTGTAAATTTATTTCCCTGACCGTTTCATTTCCCCCATTTCTTATTCAAGAAATCTGTTCAACTATGTGCGAACGTTCTTCACAGTATAGGTTTCTCCTGGATCGAGGTAAGACTGGAGATATTTGGTTACTAAGTTAGGGTAGATTTTTTCACTGTTCAGGGAAGCTTAAAGCGAACTCAGAACGTTAGGATCATGTATTGTAAAAATCACATATCTGCCATATTTTTTTAAAATAAATATTAAAAGGAAGCAGAGTTTTTTTTGTTTTTTTTTACGAATATTACAAGATTTTGAGAAATCTTAACGATAGGACTCGAGTTGAATTCAAACGATCACCTTCGATCCGCCATAGTGGCGGGCAAGTATGGGCAGACCAGATGGACTTTCCCGTTTTTTTCTATCAAGCAAAAATAACTGAAACTTTCTAATATCTATTTCGTGATTATAACCGTAAAGCAAGACTTCATGCCAAATTCCAGCGAAATCGACGGTACGTAGCCAACAAGTGCACTTGTCACATTTCTATGTGAGTGCAGACAAGAACATTCTGCCTTATTATAATATTATAACTTTGCTGACTTGAGTATTAGTAACAACTGAGTGCAGACAAAGCAACACGTCGTTTAGCCTAATAAAGTGTGGCTGAATACAGTCCACGGATAAGTCCATATCCCTTCAAATTACGGTATTACATAATACGTGGTACATGGCCCTGACATGAATTTCTTTCTTTTCACTACTTCGAGAATAAAATAGAAATGTTGTACCGCGACACGAGAGAAGCGTTTCAAGCGAAAGAAGATCGTGGCCCTTGTGCTAAAAATTGTGATGGTCAAAAAACGTGGGGTCAACGGTAGTTGTTCTTAAGAAAATGCCCGCCTCTAAGAGGAATTTAATGATTCATTAGCCCATGGTGGAAGAGTGGTCAGCTGGCGGAAGATTTCTCGCCAAGGATTACTTGGATCTGGACTATTTTCCTTGTGTGCTCATCACTGCATTCATTGTTTGTGTGATATTTGAAAAGACCTTAGAGTATGAGAAGATTTTCTTTCAGTCGTTTCAGAGTTGTATTACCAAGGACGAAGAAGACGCTGTTGACGAGTTTCTCAAGGAAAACTTTGACGCCGACGAGCTGATTGACGTACTTAACAGGTTTGACTGCAGGAAAGTCGTGACAAAAAAAAGCCTGAGAGCTTATTCTCGAAGTGACTCATAAAGAAACAATAGAGAAGCCCCAGTACCTGGCTTATGATGCTGCATTATAAAGATGAACTGACCACGGCCAAAAGACTGTAGTATTTGTAGCAGACATTTGAACGAGAAACTATTGAGCATGATACCGGCAGATCTTCAAAACAACCCTGAGAGGGTGGCAACTAAGAGAACAGCTCAAACAATTTGCATGGTTCTTAGCATGATTCTGTTTTAGATGTGTTCAACTTCTTTAGTTTCCAGGCCATCGTTTCAAAAAAAATAAAAAAGGTGGCACTGTACAGTATGGAAGTATGACGGGGCCTTTTACACAAAATTAACCTTTAGACTTAACGAAAACTCATCGGCCAGTCTTCCAGTGTCCTCCTTCTTTACCAAAATCGTGCATAAAAATCATGCTATTTCATGTTTCAGTGTAAAGAGGAAAAAGACTTAGATGATGATCATGGTGGCATCCCTGGCCGACCCGGTATCTGGGTCTCTACCCATACAATATGGTACGCTCTGTCTTTCTTAAAGACTTGAATGCATCTTACGGGGGCACTCTTTAATATCTGTAGTAGCCAGATGGGGATTAAACAAAGGACCCGAAGACCTTTCAGATGTTAGTTCATATCTTTGGAGTTACCTTGTTACCCAGGATTTGTGGTTACGTGTCAAGGCAAAGGAGTGCTGACAACAATGGTTTCTTATCAGAGAGTATTGATGCAGTCGCGAGGAACTTTTCTGTCGATGACCTGCTCAAGTACTTTGAAACGACCGTTCAGAAAATAGAAATTAGAAGAGCTTCATAGAACTCCATCACTTCGCAGATGCTTCTGAAGGGCATGCATATGAAACAATAACCTACCTATGCTTCGTTTACAAAGGAGGAAGTATCCACAACAGATTTGTGATTGGCAAATCGGAAGTGAGGCCTCAAAGGGGTGGTATCAGTGTGCCTAAGATGGAGTTGACCGCTTTCACCATGTCAATCATGATCGAGAAGGTCATTAAGAAGGAGCTAGAAGGACGCATCAAGATTCACATGGTAAAGTCAAGGCTTTACGTGTTTGGTTTTCTACCATCAAAATGAAGAAATGAAAATAAACTATGAAGACACGTTTCAAAAACTTAAATATATTCTTAACAATTGGCAAAACAAGATATTAACGCATCCTAGAAACATTAAGTTATGAGGAAGTTGGCTGCATCTCAATTGGTGTACATTTTGTCTTCATTACGCACTCGTTTTCAATCGTTAAAAGAAATAAATTATTTGCCTTTACAATTTCTCTGGGATGGAAAAAGGGACAAAATCAAATGGTCTGAAATGATGGCTCGCTATGGCGATGGTGGTCAAAAAATTGTGGACATCATGGCATTCAATAAGTGTCTATAGTAAAGTATATTTTTGATGATTGTAAAACCAAAAAGAAAAAAATTGAGGGGGTTTGTTTCTTTCAAAATGAAGGGAAAAATAGGTTTTCTGGGGAACTTGGAAAGAAGAGACGCTACCAAACATGATATCGAAAAAGATTTCCCCCGAGAACTTATCGAAATCTGGGTGGACTTTAATTTCAGAGACTTTTTCCTCTCCAAACCCGACTTTTGTAGTAGTAGTATGGAATAGACTTCTTTTTTTTTCTTTTTTTTTTTTTACAAAGACTGGCTTGATGCTGGTGTACATGATATCAAAGATCTCGTTAACGATGATCCATTAATTTAATAAAGTGACTTCAGCCATTAGCAGCGCTATGAAGTGTTTTAATTTGAAAACGCCCGATGGAAAGGATCAGGGGTTTTCGGTGCAAAAACTGATCGCAATAACAAGCCGACTAAATTTAGCGTATGATATTTGAATACAAACAAGTTCTACTTGCCCTTAGAAGAGTAAAGAAAAATGGGTAAGGGATTGTGGTCTTGGAGTTGTGGAGGATTTGAGTTGGACATCGATATATTTACTACCAAGCTTGGGTACGCTCAGTACTAACATAAGGGACTTCCAGTTCAAATTTCTCCACACACGTAAATCAACGAATTCCTTTCTCTCAAAAACGGGAATTTCGGAGACTAATCTCTCTTATTTGTGCCAAACAGACAAGTGTAAAACAGCAATTTCGCAGTTTTAACAATTGCAAATAATACAGCTTGTCAGCGCATGTCTTTGAGTTGAACTCCTTAACTTAATTTGACCCCATCTAAACAATTTCAATCAATTTGGCAATTTTGCAGAAATTGTGCTGATCTACCGTTTCGCTAATTTGACCATTTCAACCAGTTGTACCAACTTGCTTAGTTACAGCATTATGTCCAAATGAACCGTTTTAGCCATTTTGCTCTCTTGAACCAGTTGTACCAATTTAGCTGTATTGGTCTTTTTGTCGAGTTGAACCGTTTTAGCTCATCTACTTAGATTGTGCATTTTGCCTAAATAATTTGGTTTGGCTTTTTTGATCCCTTGACCCATCTGAACCAATTCAGTTAGTTAATGCATTTTGTCCAAGTGAACCTTTTTAGCTATTTGAAGTAATTTAACTAGTTGAACCAATTTTGCTAGTTTGTGCATTTGCTTATTCGAACCGTTTGGGCGTTTTTAACCGTTTCAAACAGTTGAACCAATTCCGTTAGCTTGTGCATTTATCTACTTAAATCGTTTTACGTAAAAAGGCGGTTCTAGTTACTTGAACTAATAAAGCTGAATCTCGCTTGCTCGAATAAGCCGTAAAAATGGTCAGGTAACGACCTAGGGCGAAACTGAAGAAATTGTGCAAACTAGCTGAATTGGTTCCAGGGGTTTGATGGAGGACCAGTGTAAAAGGTCGAACTGCATATGCTGGACATTTAAGGCTAATTGGTTCAACTAGTTTAAAGGTCAATCTAGTGAGGTTAGTAAAACTGCACAAATTTCTCAATCCATCCTTATTGATTGAATTAACGAGTCCATCTAGCTTAAATTGACGAACTAGAGAAGCTAAATAACTAGCAATAGCGGTATTTATTAACTGGTTAAAGGAATTTACATTATAATCTAGTAAACGTTCTAATCGCAGAAACTGCATGAGTAGATAAAACGGTTCATCAAAAAATTGTATATAATTCACTAAAATGGTGTGTTTCGACAGAATGTATAACTAGGATAATTGTTTTAATTGGTAAATTGGTTAAACTTGGAACTGGTGGTGACATTTTAACAAGTCAAACTGAACGGTTGAAGTGAATAAATAGTCAAACTACATGGATATACGTGTTTCTCATTTCGCTCCAATTTCTGAATACATTTCCAATGATCTTCAGTACAATGAGAAGTTGTACGTAGAAGACTGTCCTAATCTTCTATTGAGTGATCCGAAGGAATAACCTGACGTTTTGGGTGATCTTATGTTGTAGTGCATTGTACGACATGCACCACTAAAACGTATCACGCCATCTTGTCCTCCAGCTCCATTCTTATAAAAAGATGAAATACGGCAGACCAAGCTACCGAAGACAAATTTTGGTTTGAAGCCGAAACTTAAGCTCAAGAGATGTGCTAAAAGTTCCGTGATGTGCCTCACTTTCTAAAGAAAGAAGTAGGTGAAGCTTGTCAAATTTTATTAACAAACCTCTTTATCTAAGGATGTCATCGAAATATGGGAAGTTATTTACCGTATTCTGCACCAAAACCCGACACTTTTGGCGTGCAATGTAGATGCCCTTTAACGAACACTTTTTAAATACAGCTACGAAGATCACTAGTGTTGAAACATGGAACATTCAAGAACATTTCATAGAATTTATGGACACGTTACAAGCCGTAGAGTCTCCGACAGGAAAAACACCACCTTTAACTCTGAAGGTGTTACATTCTGTGAGGTTTCAGGTCAGCTGAGGCACGTATGATGTGACACATCAACATCAACTGGCCCTGATCTAATGCCATTAAAATTCTTAAAACCTATGGTCTTACCCCCTTAGACTAACATAGTTCATTAACTGTTAAAATTATGCAACTTTCCAGTTAAATGAAAACAAGCTTGAACTACTCCAATCGCAAAGCTGTATAGTGTTTAAGATAAGAATGATTTTCGACTAATCTTTATATGGCCTTTCTTCTCTAAAAACTACAAGACACTTATTTACAATTAAGTGGTTAAGTTAAAAAAAAAATCGCTATTTCAGGATTTAGGGAAGGCCACTTTACAACATCTGTCCTATTAAGTATATGTAATGAGTAAGAGCGAACGCACTCTGCTCGTCGTAGCTGGCTTCACGTAGGCCTTTGACACTGTAAAGTATAGATCTGTCCCGGAGAAAGAAAGGGCTCCTGAACTGTCAAGGTCTTATCTTTAATGGACAGTCAACTGCTTGCGTGGATAGGGAGCAGTTTCTTCAGATTGTATCAAGTTTAATCAACTCTTTTAAATGACCTTCTAGGATTTGATAAAAAATGGCATAGATAACCTTTAAGTTTGATGCAATTTTTGCATTACATTTTTTGATGGGTATACTTATTTTATCAATCTTTTATTCTTAGTTTCTTTGCTAGAAGATGTAGTTATTTTTGGTAAAAATAACATTTGCCTTTTTTTGCGGATGTATTTTGCGGATGACAAGCTACTTTGAAGAAATGCTGAATAGAGCCATTATTTTTCTCATCATTATTACATGAACCAACTTAGTTTTTGCATTCTGTCCATGCAATGTCTTAAACCTAATTGGAATTCGGACAGTAAAGTATATATTTCAGTGAGTCACTTACAACGTGTACCACTGGTGACGATAAGGTATCAAGTTTTCGAGAGCACAAGGTCTGTTTCGAGTTTAAGTTTACGTTTAAGCCACAGCTAAGATTATATGACAAGATTTCATTTGTTATACTGAAACTGAAACTGCAGTTTCAACGGGATGTAATCTCGCCTTCAGGGAGAGACTGCTGTCGAAACTAATAAGTTCAGAGGAAGTTTGAATATAAAGGACTTTTGATTTATAGCTAGGCGAAAAGAGCGGGACATTTAGGAAACGTAAGGAAGAGGTTCAAATCTATCTAAGGACTTCTCCAAAGATGCGCGCTTACAAGAAGTAATTGAAGCTC